CCAATTGGCAGCATCAGGATGGATGGTGAAGAGATTGAGATTGTTCACATCTTTAGTTTGCTTGGCTCCACAGTCAACACTCTCGGCACCAGTAGCCAGGAAATTAAAAGACGTATTGCCATGGGAAAGTCTGCTGTTAGGAACCTCTCCAAAGTACTGAAGAGCAATGGTGTCTCTCTGGAGACTAAGGTGCGCCTGATACTGGCCATGGTCTTTGCAATCACTTGTTATGCATCAGAGAGCTGGACAATGAATAAGGAGGATAGAAGGAGAATTGATGCCTTTGAGCTGTGGTGCTAGAGAAGAGTATTGAGGGTACCATGGACTGCTAGGAAAACAAATAGATTCATCCTCAAAAGGGTCAAACCGGGTGGCTCCTTGAAGGCAAGGATTCTGAGGCTCCATCTAACATAATTTGGACTTGTTGTAAGGAGGGACCAATCCTTGGAGAGGGACAACATGCTTGGTCAGGTGGAGGGACAGTGCAGGAGGGGAAGGCCCTCTATGAGGTAGATTGATTCAGTGACTGGGGCAATTGGGATGGGTGTATCGGAGATGGTGCGATTGGCACAGGACAGAGCGGAGTCTAGGGCTGTTGTACATTGGGTCGCTATGAGTTGCAAGCAACTTGACGGCACATAACAACAAACAAGAACATGTAGGGATAGGAACCCTTATACACGCACATAATAACAAACAGCAACATGTGGAGATAGGAACCCTTATACACTGCTGGTGGGACTGTAAAATGATACAACCACTCTGGAAGCCAGCTTGGTGTTTCCTTAAACAAATGGAGATTTGCACATCAATATTCATAGCAGTGTTATTTAGCATTTCGAGAACATGGCAACAGTCCAAATGACCAACCACAACAGAACAGATTGAGAAGTTATGGTATATTCACCCAGTGGAACACTATGCAACACACGGGAACAATGATTTTGTAAATTACTACCTAACTTGCAAGGGACTGGAGAGCATTATGCTAAGTGGACGAACTCAGCCCCATTATTGTAGAAATAGGTAACAGTTAAACACATACGAGGATCCAAGGTGGGGAGAGTAGGAGCAGAAGAGTCAGGTTAGGCAGGGTGGTAATCTTAGATTAAATTTAAGGTAGAGGAAGGGGTGGGTAAAGCAAGTGGGAAAGATTCAGTGTAAAAACAATGTATATGAACTTTGTAAGCAAACCAGTATAAAATACTTTTTTTAAAAGACAAATTCCAATGGAAAAGTCAGGAATCGCTCTAGAGTACTGAGGAGCAATGATGTCAGTTTAAAGATTAAGCACAGCTGATTTAGGTCATGGTATTTTCGATCATTTGCTATGCATCTGAGAGCTAGACAATGAATAAAGTTGATAAAAGAAGAATCAATGCCTTTGAGTTGTGTTGGAGAAGAACGTTCCATGGACTGTCAAGAGAACAAACATACTTCTCAGACTAAGTGCAGCCACAGTACTCCTTGGAGGCAAGGATGGTGAAGCTTTCCCTCATATACTTTGGACATGTGGCAAGAAGGTGCTGGCTGTTCTTTAGAGAGAAACACCATCCTTGCAAAGGTGGAGGGTAAGCAAAAGAAAACCCAATGAGATGGATTGACACAAGATAGGGCAGGGTTTAGATATGTTGTTTATAGGGTCCCTATTAATTACAGCTAAGGAATTGCACTGCCAACCCAAAGGAACCGGATTCAGATAGAACAGCAGCTCTGCAGGAGAAAGGTGGGCAACCTCCTCTATGAAAACCCACTCGAGGGTCTGCTAGGAGTTCAGACGTTATCTAACAACACTAGGTGTACTGGACTCGAAGGCCCATCATAACAACAACAGATCTCAAAAGAGACTTAATCAAGATGAACCTAATCCAGTAGAATGTACCTTTCCTCATTAACATAACAAACAGAACTTAATAATCTAAAAGCTGTTAAGGCTATGTCTCTCTGATGCTTTGAATCTAGCAGCAGCTCCAAGGTAGAAAGATGGGCAATCTCCTCTTGTATGATTTACAGCCTTGGAAACCCAATAGTCAGTTATGAGTCTGTTTCAACTCAATCTCAATTTGCTTTGGGTAAAAATCCTACTTCATTAATCCATTGATATCAGGAGTTAGATGACATCACAAATGGAAGCTAATTATATCAATCATTGGAGATAATTATATGATGTGATTAGCTGTCAAAAGGTATTGATACCATAACCCCCTAAAAACTACTAAAAATCATCACTTAGCCATGTTAACAGACAACTCAATCCATAACAACTAAGTTTGAGGTAGCTATTAGACACTTTTTTAGTAGGTATTAGGTAAGTGCACTTGGGTACTAGGGTAAATACATGAATTGTAGATATAAACGTGTGAGTTGCCAGAATAGAACTGGTATTTAAATCTGTGAAGTGAAAGAGATCACCAAAAGGGCGAAGGTGAAGAAAAGAAGTTGTTCAAGAACTGACCCATTGAGCACTACTGACTTTAAAGAGCTGACGAAGAACCAGGAAGAGACTGAGGAACAGATAAATGTGTTGAAATCCAGAGTGTAGTGATCTTGGAAGATAAACTGGCAAGAAAGGAATGATTACGCTAAATACTGACAAGTAAGATGATACTGAGAACTAATCATTGAACTTACCAAATATGGTCACCTTCAGAGAAAGTGACAACATAAGTTTAAGAAGAATGGTTTGGGTAAAAGCCAGACTTGTGTGGAGAAAATCTTGTAATGAATTCAAGAGTATAGTAGAAGAGGAAGCAGGAGTGACATCCACTTTCTAAACAACTTGCCTCTGGAAACTACAAACTTTGATAAATGTTGATAGCTGTAGAGGGGCTTGAGGCCTTTTGTTCATAGAGTTGCTGATTGCCACTCGAAGGCAATCAACAACAGTAGGTGAGGAATTGTGCAGTGAATAAGGTGAGATGAGGTTCAACTGAAAGATAACAGAGAAGGGATGGAAGAAGAGTGAATAGTCCAACTATTAAAGTTTTATTACTAGTCCAAACTGGGGAAATTAACTAGGAACTGCAGAAAGTAGGTTCTTAAGTATTGAGTGGTCACATTAGATTATGGTTAAATATCAAGTAAGATCAGGTAATGTGGTAGTGTAATTTTTCTCTACCAGTTCTTGTTGCTTGAGTACAGGTATGAAATAAATGAAAATTTGGCTTAAAAGTACACTGAAGATTTTTCTAGATGTGCAATATACAAGGGAATTAAGATGTTTGCAGTGAAGTGATTCAGACACTGAACTGTATAATCTTTACTTTGTAAGAAGTAAGGATATAAGGAGAGTTAACAGATAATAAATGATAAAATCAAGGGATCAGATATCCAGATATGGTTGGAAACGGACTAGAAGAATTGGACAAAATGAGTTTAAAGAGTGGAAGATGATAATCTGAGAGTTAAACATATGAGACTGAAATTTTGGATATGGTCTAATTAGCATTAATTTTCTTCCCCAATTAGGGAAAAAAATCCACCCCAACCTAACCCCAAACATTAACCAAAAAAACTTTTAGGATAAAGTCAGTGATACTTTTCGATACATTAAGAAAATACTTTATATCATGGGTTTGTCCAGGATTTATTTGGCAAGGGGAGGCTTAGCCAGTATCACCTAACTTGAATTTCATAATCAATCTCCAAATGAAATCACTGTATTTTATATATATACACACACGCACAAACGGGCCAGTTGGCAGCATTATGATATGATAGATGGAGAAGAGATTGTTAACATTTACAGCTTGCGTGGTTCCACAGTCAACACTCTTATACTAGGGAGCTCTGGTGGCTTACAGGTAAGAAGCTCCACTGCTTAACTCAAAGGTTAAATCCATCGACTGCTCCATGGCAGAAAGATGGGTAGTCTCCTCCTGTACAATTTATAGCCTTTGAAAACCCAATGGAGTGTTAGCTATGAATCAGTTTCTGACTTGATGCCACATAACAACAACAACACTATACTATACTATACTATACTATACTATACTATACTATACTATACTATCTATACTATATTTTGGCTTCAACTTTTAATACAATTTTTACGTTTCCTGCTATGTGCTGTCAAGTTGGCTCTGATGTATAGTGATCCTATGAATAGAACAAAAATTGCCCAGTCCTATGTCACCATCATCAGCTCAATGTCACCTGACAAAGGCAGCATGCCGTCTTCAAGGTGCTGTCATGTCTGAGTCTACTGCTGCAGCTGCTATGTCAAGCCACCTTGTCTAGGGTCTTCCTCTTCTTCACTAACCCTGAGTATTTACGATACAAATAGTAAAGCAAAAAAAAAGCTCAGTACTGAATTAAGAGGAATTTTCCAATGAATTCTATTATCACCAACAACTACAGAATAAGAGGACTCCTTGGGATAAATTATGTATACTGCATTGAAACAGATGAGAGAGAGAGAACTGTTTAAAAGGTATATATGATTAGGTATTATTTTCATGACAGAAGTCCAGAATGAAGGCTGCATAGTGGAGTGAACTTAGGGGGAGGGATTATATAACACTAAAAGAATTTTTCTTTTACTTTTCAAAGAGAAGAATGAACTGGAGGGGAGGGGTGGCCAGGGACAACAGTGCAACAATGAATGAATGGAAATCCAAAGTCTGTAAATTTTCATTAAAATGAATAATAATAGTAACAGATTTAAAAATGAAAAAAAGAGGAATTCTATGTGTGTGTGTATAGAAAAAGGGAGTCAATGTAAAAGCAAATATTTTGCTGTTAAGAATTTTAAATAAACATAAAAACCATTTCCAATCTAACATTTTTATTGTACTGCATTATCTTTTAAAATGACAAGAATATAGGCAAACAGTATTCATTATCAGAAAAGATTAAGTGTGATCATCCATGGCATTTAGGAACAAATGAATACCATATTTCAAAGAAATGCTATATTCATTTTACAAAACAGTGAAGTTTCATTGTAAGTAGTAAATTTCACTTTATCTGTGTATGCAATTTAACTTTGTTTAACTGGTTTACATAATTCCACTTTCTCCAACTGGATGCTGTGCAGGATCCAGCCCTATTTTCTTCATTGATACAGCAACATCAAACAAATAGTCATAGCATTCACACCTACAAAAGAAAAATAAACACCATAGAAGGTCTTTAGCAAAAGAGCATTCATCATTCCTAAATAATTTCAATTCTCCTTTCCATCAAGTTAACCCTGATGTTTCCTAGTATTGTTTTTATTTTAAAAAATTAATTATACATCCACCAGACGCTCTGCCGGAGAAGGAGGCGCAATATCCTCCTGTACCAGTCAGATCTGATTTGACGGTACACGCACACAAAATTAAAAAAAAAAAAAAAAAAAGAAAAAAATTAATTATACATTAAATGTTTCTCATTCTCTTTCCAACTTTAAAACATACTGCATCATGGAACCATATTGTATTTTGTTCAGAAAATAAGTTTAAAAAGAAAGAAGTATGTGAATTTGAATTTTTACTGTATTTTACTTTTTAAAACAAAGGCAGCAAATTAGTAATCACTCTTTTCTTTAACCTGTGTTAAACTTTGAGAATAAGATATGCATCTCTTTCCTCTTTGTACTGAAGTGCCCAAGGCCTTGCTAAATAATAGTTCACCCAATAAATGTTTCTGAATAAATACATACATACTGAAAAGTCTATAAATAAGGATAAACTATCTAGAATTATAAATAACATATTTTCTTCTTGTTCACCGAGTGTGGTGACTTGTGCCGACCATCGTTTTACACTTACATGGTTTTAGTCTTCTGCCAAGTGTCTCCCCACACGTACACTCCGTGACGCCTGACAAGCACTGCACAGGTATCTGGATATTCGTTCATAGCACGAGCCATTCTCTCTTTGAGGTCCTTCTCCTCAGGTGTATTCTCAATAATGGGAACAACTAACATGTCATCATATCTGTAAGAGAGGTCATTTTTCCCATTAAAGCAAATGCAGATAAAACAAGTCTCTTCAATTTTATAGACCACTGTTTCCAAATTTGTTGTTATAAGGTGCTGCCTAGTTGATACTCACTCTTAGATTCATCTTATGTTCAGAAGATCAAAACCTAGTCCAATCCTGTGTTAGCCTTATAGTCTCCACTGTGCTTAATCAAGTCCACTGTTGTAGTCATTGTATCAATCTTTCTAGTTGAGATTTTTCTCCCTTTCCCTGATGCTTCTCTTCCAAATACGATGTCTTTTTGCGAGGACTAGCTCCTCTTGATAACATACTTTAAGTGCATGAGATAAATGTCATCATCTATTTTCTAATTCTAGGTCTCTGCACATTCTGTTAGAGTAGACTGCTTTGTCTTCCTGAGAACAAACAGAAATGACCTGAAGGTACAGCCAGAGTGCTCCTTGGAGCCAAAGATAATGAAGCTTCATCTCACATACTTTGGGCCTATTGTTAGGAGGTTATTCCTTGGAGAGAGACATTATGCTTGGGAAAGTGGAGGACATCATGTTTGGGAAAGTCAAGGAGAATGCCAAATGAATGCCTATTTGTGTTTTACTATGCAAAACCATTTGACTATGTGGCTCATAACAAACGGTGGCTAACATTGAGAAGAATGGGAATCCTTGAACACTTAGTTGTGCTCCTAAGAAACATAGACCTAGACCAAGAGACTGTTGTCCAAACAGAGCAAGGGAACACTGCATGGTTTAAATTCAAGAAAGGTGTGTGTCATGGCTGTATCCTTTCTCCACAGGAACAATCTGTCTGCTGAAAAATATCACACGAGAAGCTGAGCTTTATGAAGAAAAATGTGGAATGAGGATCAGAGGAAGACTCATCAACAACCTGCATCATGCAGCTGACACAACCTTGTTTGCCTGAAAACAGAGGTCATGAATCACCTGCTGCAGAAGATCAAAGACCACAGCTTTCAATGTGGATAATACATTAACATCAAGGAGACAAAAATCTTCATCACCGGACAGACAACATTATGACAGATGGGGAAAAGACTCAAGTTGTCAACTATTTTATTTTGTTTGGATCCACAATCAATAAATACCCTTGGTATTAGCAGCAAGAAATCTGAAGATGTGCTACACTGGGAAAATCAAGAACCTCTCCTCCAAAGTGCGAAGGAGTAGTGACATTAGTTTAAAGGCTAAGGTGCACCTGCTTAAAAACAGTAGTCTTTTCAATCACTTCCTATGAAATCTGCAAGTTGGACAGTGAGTAAGGGTGATGGAAGAACTGATCCCTTTGAGTTGTGGTGTTGGAGAAGAGTACTGAATATCCCATGGTCTGCCAAAAGAACAAACTCTTAAAGAGAGTACAACCATAATGTTACTTAGCAGCGAACACAGTAAAGCTTCATCTCACGTACTTTGGGAATGTGTCAAGGGAGGCCAATCCTTGGAAAAGGACATGCTGGGAAAGGTGGAGAGTCAGCAAAAGAGAGAAAGATTCTTGGGGCGGTGGACTGACACGGTGACTTGAACAACAGACCCAAGTTTATCAGAGATGGTGGGGACAGCACTGGATGGGGCAGGGTTCCTATTTGTTGTTCACAGGGTTGCTATGAGTTGTACTGGATTCAATGGCACCTAATAGCAACAACAAGTATCTGCTTAGGGGAGCTTTGGTGGCCTAAAGTGTTGTGCTGCCAACCTAAAGGCTCATAGTTCAAACCCACTAACTGTTCCATCGAAGTAAGATAAGAGATCTCCTTCCATGTGATTTACAGCCTCTGAAAACTCACTGGAGGGTGAGCTTTTTTTTTTTTTTCACTGCAAAGGGAAATTTTATTTTATAAATTGTTATTATTAAATGCTACAGAGTGTCATCACCTGAAAATGGACCATTGTATGCCTACAATTCACATCTGTAATCATAAATGAGTTTTCATGATTTATGTAAATCCGTGAGATTTAATGAGAAACAAACAGCCATAATAACTGATGTTTCAGATTGCAATGATGATGTTTTTAATCATCTTTCATAAGCAATCTTATGTAAGTAATAAATCAATCAATTAAAAGTTCCAAGTCTCCAAAGGTGTTTTTAAATATACATAAACACATGGTTACAGATAAGGGAAAATTTTAAGAAGCATCTTCCATATCCACATCCTCTTGCAATTTCTGTACCATTTTTTCTTCCAGCTGCTTTCCTTTGCCTGCAACAGGTGCCCGGATAAGATGAATGTTTTGCTTGACTTCTTTGATATCCTGAGCTTTCTGTAATTCTTTATTTTTCTTTAACCTGTTCATTATATATGTAGCTTAGCGTTTTTGTTTAATCTCTTCCACTCTCTTCATTGCATCAATAGTTTTATTCCACAGTTCCCGCTGGTATTTGACAGGTTCATTTCTACGCTTTTCAAATTCAAATGAATTATCCACTGTAAGTTCTTTACCCGCTGCTTTCCGAAATGCTTTAGTCCACCTGACCTTGCGAGGATTGCGCTTCTTTTTAAAGTTTTTATGACATTTGGATTTACAAAATCGGAACACCTTGCAATCGTTGCGGATGGAGGGTGAGCTTTTACGACAACAACAGTATCCCCTTGTTCTGTTTGAACAACTGCTTCTTACCCAAAGGTTAAGTGGTTTGAATCCACCAGCTACTTGGTGGGGAAAAGATGGACAATCTCCTCCCTTGTAATTTACTGCCTCTGAAAACCCTGCTGGTGGGTCAATAATGGGCTGGTTCCGACTTGACAGTACAAGAAGAGGCTCTGTTATAAAATGACCTACCTGGCCATCATTCTGTTTGGAAACTGTCAATCATGAAAGATTAAAAAAAAAAAAAGATTACACTCTAGAGAACCCTGTAGGGTAGTTCTAGTCTGTCACAGGATGTTGATGTGAGTTGAAATCAACTTACTGACGATTCAGAAGAAATTTTTATTTAATGTAGTATTTCTGGAATATTTTCCTGTTTCTAAATGTTTTGTGATTGCTGTAATTAAGTAGATCTCCAGTTTTTTTATACACTTTCAGTGTTGAAAGATGGCACAGATCATATAGCACAGTGGGTTCGCCTGCTGTTATGTGCCATCAAGTTGTCTGTGACTCACAGTGACCCTATGTACCCCATGTATACAGCTCTGAACCCTGCCCTATCCTGAGCCAATCTCATTGTCTCTGACAGACCTAATCCCATTTCCCCTCCCCCCAAAAAACCCAAAAAACAAACAAAAAAACCGCACCAACAACAAATAAACAAACCCACAGCAAAACAAAACACCTAAAACTCACTGCCATGGAGTATATTCCAACTAGTGACTCTACCTGGTCAGAGGGTTTAAGGCACTGTTAGGAACTAAGCATTTAACGACTACAGCGTGAGTTGTCGTTGCTAAGTGCCACTGAGGTGAGTATGACTAAGTGACCCTATGAATGGCAGATCGGAACCCTGCCTTATCTTGAGCCATCCTCATCATCTCTGCCACACTTGAGCCCATTGTTAATGTCATTATGTCAATCCTTGAGAGTCTTGCCCTCCTCTCTGACCCTCTACTTTTCCAAGCATGATGTCCTTTTTCAAGGACTGGCATCTCATAAAACATTCCCAAAGCAGGACTTTTCCCCAGCACCACAGCACAAAGGCAAAAATTCTTCTTTTGTCATACTTAGGCACTGTCCAGCTCTCTGATGCATAGCAAGTAACTGGCAAAGACCATGACCTGGATCAGGTGCACCTTAGTCTCTAGACTGACACTTGCTTCTCGCTACACTGGAGAGATCTCTGACTGCATATTTTCCCAGAGCAATTAAATGTTATGATTTCCTGTTTGTTGGAGCCAAGAGTGTTGATTGTGGAGCTGAGCAAGCTGAAATTGTTAATAATCTCAATCTCTTCTCCATTTCTCATGGTGCTATAAATTGGCCCAGTGGTGACAGTCTTTGTCTTCTTGATGTTAAGCTTCAATCCATACTGAAGACTATAGTGCTTCAGGTCCTCCTGTTTTAGCAAGCAAGGTTGTGTCATCTGCATAATGCAGGCTGTTGGTAAGTCTTCCTCCAATTCTGATGCCACATTCCTCCTCAAAAAGCCCAGCCTCCATATGATCTGTTCCACATATGGATTGAAAAGTATGGAGATAAGACACATCCCTGAAACACTCCTTTCCCAATTTTGAATCATGCAGTGTTTCATTACTCTTCTGACTACTGCTTCTTGAGTATAGGTTTCATATGAGCACATTCAAGTGTTCTGGGACTCCTATTCTCAGGGCTAGCCACAATTTGTTGTGCTCTACACGGTAAAATGCCTTTGCACAGTAAATAAAACACAGATAGACATTTTGCTGGTACTTTCTGCTTTCAGCCAAGATCCATCTGACATTAATGTCTCTAGTGCCATGACCTCTTCAAAACCCAGCCTGTATTTCTGGTAGTTCTCTGTCAATGCACTGTTCCATTAGTTTTTGGATAATCTTAAACAGGATTTCGCTTGTGTGTGATATTAGCGATATTGTTCAATAACTTCCATACTCTCTCGAGTCACCATTTCAGAAAGTAGCCTATGCTCAAGAACCAATAGTACTGAAGGAAAATGTCCAAGCTACATTCAAGACACTGGCAAAAAAGAAGTCCTCGGGAATTGACAGATCAATCATCAAGAGAGGTATTCCAGAAATGGGTGCATTCCTGGGTGTGCTCACTCATCTATTCCTAAAAATTTGGAAGATAGCTACCTAGCCAACTGACTGTTATCCAACAGACTTTGGAAATTATCTAACAGGATCATTAATGTCTCAGGCAAGTAAAATCTTGTTAAAGAATTTTTTTTACCTTTGGATTGGCAGGGAAATTCCTTACCACTAAACCCACCAGATCCTTCACAGACTCACTGGGTACGCTCAAACTGCCAGTCTTAAGGTGCCCAGCCAAGAGCTTACTCAACCTGGCTGAGAGCAGGGACACTCTACCCTCTGCATGCATCAAGAAGAGAACATTATCTTTCCAGATTTGTGGAAATCCAGGTCTAACAAATACTATACCAATTCTGTTGTGAATAATTGACTGTAGCAACAGGGAGGAGGGAAGGAGGATATCTCATTTAATGCCACTGAAAATGGATTTTTGATGTGTTATACAAAGTGTTCTTTAACAAAGACTTTATAGCATCTCATTAAATGTACAAAAATTTCCGTACCCTATTTGTCAAAGAAAACTACTTTAGTAAATTCTTTAAGATAGGCAGAAAGAGAAATAAATTTAAAAAAAATACCTGTAGAACCCTCCCGAGGTACATTTCTGTATTCCTTTTATCATCTCTTGGTGTGTAATTTTAAACTCCTTTCCTGGAAATATAAGGGTGGCCATGACGGCAGCTTTAGAATGGGTGTGGATCACTGCACCGGCACCTGGAGGAGGAAGAATAAAGTCATTTGTCATATGCTCAATGATGACTCAGTGATACCTTTTACAAAATTTTCTGTATGAGTTTTTGCATAAATGTAACATATAAAAATGAAAGAAAACATATATAAATGTCTATAAAACTCAGTAATTCAACTTGTCGCTGTCGAGTCTGACTCGATGCAGAGGGACCCCCCCAGCGTGTTTTCAGATGCTGTGAGTTGCACAGGAGACTGCCCGTCTTTCTCCCGAGGAGCCTGCCCCTGGGTTGGCAGTGCAACTCCTTCCTTACCCACGAGGCTGGAAGAGCTCCATCTACATAGACAGAGGGGTGGATTGTTTTTCAGTAAGTTGGTGGAGAAAAAGGGAAGGAGCAGATCAATGCTGTTGTGTGCCACTGAGCTGATTTGACTCATAATGATCCTACAGCAGAGAAGAGAACTGCCCCATACAGTTTCCAAGTCTGTAAATCTTTACAGAAGTAACTTGTTGCATCTTTGCGCTATGGAGCGGCTGATGGGTTCAAGCCACTAAACTTTTGGTTAACAGTCAAGTACTTAAAACACTGCTCTACCAGAGTTCCTTGAAAGAGGCAACAGTGGTGGTGGTGTTAGATGCCATCGAGTCGAATACAAACCACAGCAACCCTAAGAACTCTGTCCTATCCTGTGTCATCCTCATTATCTCGGACATACCTGAGCCCAATGCCACAATCACTGTGTCAATCCATTTCATTGAAGGTCTTCCCTTCTTTCAGTGACCCTTCACCTTTCCAAGCATGATGTCCCCCTCCAAGGAAGAGCCCCTCCTAACAATGTGCCCAAAGTACGTGAGATGAAGCCTGTAAGATGATCCCTGCCTGTAAGAAGCACTCTGGCTGCACTTTTTCTATGACATACTTGTTTTTCTCTTGGCAGCCATCACAATTCAAAGGCATTAAATCTTCTCTGTCATCTTTATTCACAGTCCAGCTCTCAGAAGCACAGCAAGTGAATGAAAAGACCACAGTCTGAATCAGGCATACCTTAGTCTTTAAAGTGACATCACTGCTCTTTAGTGCTTTGGGGAGCTCTCTGACAACAGACTTTTCCAATGCAGCCTGTCTTGATTTCTTAATTGCTATATGAGGGTTCAACAATTTCAATCTTTCCTCCATATATTGTGATGTTACCTATTGGCCCAGTAGTAAGGATTTTAGTCTTTTCAATGTTGAGACGCAATCTATATTGAAGGCTGTAGTCTTTGAACTTCTGTAGCAAGAGTTTCAAGTCCTCCTCCCTTTCAGTATGCAAGACTGTGTCATCTGTTGAGTTGTCTTCTGATCCTGATGCATATTCTTCTTCATAAAGTCCACCTTCTTGAATTACTTGCTTAGCATACAGAGTGAACAGTTATAAAGAAAAGAAAAAATACAGCCCTTGTACATCTTTCTTGTTCTTACACCAAGCAGTATTCCCTTGTGTGTTTGTGCAGCAGCTTCTCGGTCTAAGAATTTTGCGTAAGCACAACGAAGGTTTGGCATGAGCGCAATGAAGTGTTCTGGGACTTCCATTCTTCTCAATGGTAGTCCTAGCTTGCTAAGATCCACACAGTCAAATGCTTTTGACAGTCAAGAAAACATAGACATTCTTCCGATATTCTCGGCTTTTAGCCAGGATCCATGTGACAAAGGCAATGAATGACATCCTGGTGCCATGGCCTTTTTTTTTTTTTGCCATGGCCTCTTTTGAACCTACCTTCAACTTCTGTCAATGTACTGTTCTAGCTGTTTTTGAAAAGAGGCAGTAAGAGCTGAGAAATACTTATTAAAGAATTTAAAGGTAATTAAAACTTCAAATTTATCCAGAGGGAAACAATGTAAAACCCATGGTTAAAAAATATGCTCTAAACCAATAAATCAATTAATGGAATGCATTTTTGTGTGCCTCACTCAGATTTGGATCACATTTTAGACACTTAGGTGGCCTGAAGTACAGCGGTATTAATCATGGTGATCATAAGTGAACAACATTTACTATTCAGTACTCTTTTATTCAGTACTCTTTTGTTCAGTACTTGGCAAATCCTTTCACATGTCATTTCTTTGCATTATCACAAGGACCACAGAGGTAAATACTATACCTTTCATTTAATAGTTCAGGAAACATACTCAAAGATATAAAAAGTTTCCCAGAGCTCACAGATAGTAGTAGTAGAACTTGCATTGGAACCCAGCAACCCACTGAAGCTCATTTTCTTAACCACCAAGTTAGTCTTCAGAGAACAGGTCAGGTCTTCACAGCACAAAGCGATAATAAGGATTTTTCTCTGAAAGAACTGGCAAAAAAATAAGGCCCTAGGAATTGATGGTATACCAACTGACATATTTCAGCTAACAGATGCTGCCCTAGATGTGCTCACCAAGCTATGCCAAGAAATCTGGAGAACAATCAGTTGGCCAACTGACTGGAAGAAATCTATATTTGTTCCCATTCCAAAGAAAGGTGAACCAACAGAATGTAAAAATTATAGAACAATATCACTGATATCACATGCAAGTAAGATTCTGCTGAAGATTATCGCCAAAATGACTGGGAGAGCCCATCAACAGAGAACTGCCAGAAGTCCAGTCTGGGTCATGGTACTAGGGAGATTGTAGCTGTTAGAAGGATGTTGGCTAAAAGCAGGGAGTACCAGAGGAATGTCTATCTGTGTTTCATTGTTTATGCAAAGGCATTTGACTGTGTGGATCACAACAAACTGTGGCTGACTCTGAGAAGAATGGGAATCCCAGAATACTTGATTGTGCTAATAAGAAACCTATACTTGGACCAGAAGGCCGTCATCAGAACAGAACAAAGAAACTATGGAAGGTTCCAAATTGGGAAGGGTGTATGCCAGGGATTTGCCCTATCTCCATACCTTTCCAACCTATATGCAGAACAGATTATCTGGAAGGCTGCGATCTATAAGAAATGCGGCATCAGGATTGGAGGAAGATTCAACAATCTGTGTTATATAGATCACATGATCCTGCTTGCTTGCTGAAACTGAGGAGGACCTGAAGCACTTGCTACAGAAAGGACTGTAGCTTTCAATATGGATTGAGGCTTAATATCAAGAAAACAAAGATTCTCACCACTGGGCCCTTTGGCAGCATCAGGATAGATGGTGAAGAGACTGATATTGTTAACAGCTTTAGTTTGTTTGGCTGCACAATCAACACTCTTGGCACCAACAGCCAGAAAATGAAAAGACATATTGCAATGGGAAAGTCTGCAGTTAAAGACATCTCCAAAGTACCGAAAAGCAACAATGTCAGTCTGAAGACTAAGGTGCGCCTGATACAGGCAATGCTCTTTGCCATCACTTGCTATGCATCAGAGGGCTGAGCAATAACGAGGGAGGACAGAAGGAGAATTGATCCCTTTGAGCTGTGGTATTGGAGAAGAGAATTGAATATACCATAGACTGCTAGAACAGGTTCATCCTAAAGAGGGTTAAGCCAGGCTGCTTCTTGGAGGCATGGATTCTGAAGCTTGGTCTGACATACTTCGGACATGCTGCAAGGAGGGACCGGTCCTTGGAGAGGGATGTCATGCTTGGGAGGGTCGAGGGACAGCGCAGGAGGGGAAGACCATGTATGAGGTGGATTAATTCAGTGACTGGAGTAATGGGGGTAGGTGTGTCGGAGACAATGAGATTGGCAAAGGATAAAGAAGGGTTTAGGGCTGTTGTATAGGGTCACAGGCGACTCGACAGCACATAAAAACAACAACAACATCATCCAATTTTCCAGCATCTCAGGTCTTTTCATATTCAAAAAGAAATAGTAATGGACTTTCTTTGTAGAAATCATGTGAAAACTGAATGAGCTAACATGTTTAAAAGATCTTGCTCATTGTTGTTGTTAGGTGCCATCAAGTTGAGTATGACTCACAGCAACCCTATAAACAACAGACTTGAACTTGTCCTAGCCTCTGCCATCTTCATTATCTTTGACACACTGGCACTCATTGTGTCAGTCACTGGCCCATCCACCTGGTTGAGGATCTTCCTTTCTTTCGCTGACCCTCCACCCACCTTTTCAGGCATGATGTTCCTCTCCTTACTCATTGCTCAGCTCTCAGATGCACAGCAAGTAACTGAGAAGACTATGGCCTGAATCAGGCACACTTAGTCTTCAAACCGACATCATCGTTTCTCAGCAGTTTGGAGAGGTCCCTGATAGCAAACTTGCCCAATGCAATTGGGTGTCCTGATCTGACGCTAGTACCAATGGTGTTGACTAGGGTTCTTTGTAAGATGAAGTTGTTAAAAGTCTTAATCGTCTCTCCATCTATCTCGATGCTGTTTATCAGTCTAGTGGTGAAGATTTTTATTTTCTTGATGTTGAACTGCAATCCATATTGAAGGCAGTCTGTGGTCTTTGATCTACTGTAGCAAGTATTTCAAGTCCTCACTTTCAGGAAGCAAGGCTGTCATTTACATAACACAGGCTGTTGATGAGTCTATTTCTGATCCTGATGCCACATTTTTATTTTCATAGAGTCCTCCTTCTCAAATGATTTGTTCAGCATACAGGTTAAATAGGTATGGAGAAAAATATGACCCAGATGCACAACAGCTTCTTGGTATAGGTTTTGTATGAGCATTAATTAAGGATTCCCATTATTCTCAATATCCACCATTAATTTGTTATGATCCACACAGTAAATGCCTTTGCATATTCAATAAAACACAAATAGACCTTCCTCTGGTATTCTCGGCTTTCAGTCAGGATCTATGTGACATTAGCAATACCCCTATTAGATATTAGATAATTAGATGGCCCTGGTACCCCAGTCTCTTCCAAATCCAGCTTGAACTTGTACTAGTTCTCTCTGTGTTCTGTTCTTTTCGTTTTTGGATGATCTTCAGCAATGACAATTTATAGAAGCCTTATTTAGTATACTTCAATACAGATACCATCTCAAAACCAGTAAAACAAAAACCCTTGCCACTAGACCAATAGGCAACATCATAATGGATAAAGAACTGAAACTGTCAACAACTTCATCTTGATCCACAATCAATACATTTGATATCAGCAGTCAGGAGATCAGGAGATATACCATATTGTAAAATCTGCAGCCAAGGACTTCTTCAAATTATTGAGGAACAATGATGTCAGTTTGAGGACTCAAGTACACCTGATTCAGACCATGGTCTTTCCAATCTCTTCCTGTGCATGTGAGAGCTGGGCAATGAATAAGGATGACAGAAAAACTGATGCTATTTAACTGTGTGTGTTGTTGAAGAGTACTAAATATTCCATGGACTGCCAAATGATTCACTGCCTCTGAAAACCTACTGGAGAGATGGTTCTGACTCAATGGTACATAACAACAACAACAACTTAGCAAACATTCTACATTGAATACATTTTCTGCATACCTCTCATTGTGTACGCATTCATGAAAAGAGGAGTACACTGACTTTTTCTCAGCTTCTTATATGGTGGTGGTCCACTTACATCCTGTTCATTTAAGTCACAAACAAACATGTCTTCGGGCTATTTACAAAGGGATAAAAGAAGAAACAAAACAAGTTTATGCAGTATCAATCAGAAAAGAGTCTCCTTTTATGTATATCTATTGTATACCTAGACATACATAACACATACACCCCACATATAAAGAGAAGAATGCAAGAGCACTAGCTAATATACACTCACGAGTGCTGGTGGCCTAGTGGTAGGGAGTTGCACTGCCAACTCAAGGACAGGTTGTTCGAATCCACAAGCTGCTCTGTGGGAAGAAGATGGACAAACTTCTCCCATGTGATTTATAGGCAATGAAAAGCCACTGGAGGGTCAGAGTCAATCCTGACTCGACAGCACACAACACAACAAACGCATGTAAGGAGCTCTGTGGAGTGGTCCACAGGGAGCTGTACTGTTGAGGTATTCATTACATATTTTAAATATTCATATGCAGGCAGTTCTCAGAGTTACTAATACCCAACTTAAGGAAAATTCCTATTTGTTATTTAATGTTATGAAATTTTGCCCTTACTTTGAAATGACTGAACTCACAACAAATTCATCACAATTACCTTCACTTGCTGCACGTGCAGCTTTGGAATCACTGAAAAGGCTTTCAGCATTTTTATGTACTTAATTAATTTCTGTTGCATCAGGACCAGTTCATAGCTGACCCACCAGCAGGTGTCCGAGGCTGTAAGTTACACGGACAAGACTGTCCATCTTTCTCCGTTGGAAGGGAGGGATAGCAGCTAGTAGATTTGAACTAGCAGAGGCATGGCCTATGGACTATGCCAGAGGTTCCTTTTCTTGTACAAAAAACTCCCCCCAAACAAACAAAACAACAATTCAAACTCGTTGCCCTTGAAATGGAACTGACTCCCCACTGACTCTCCATCGGGTTTTCGAAGGCTATGACTTGCATAGAGGAGACAGCTCATCTTTTTTCCTTAGAGGAGGGGCAGATTTGAGCAACCTGTCTTTGGGATGGCAACATAACTTGTTACGCACTAGGCCACCATTGTCGTGTGGCCATCGAGTCGGAACCAACCCATAGCTGACTCTCCAGTGGCTTTTCAGAGGCAGTTAACTACACAGGAGGCGAATGGCCATCCTTCTCCTGTGGATTCAAGCTGCATGCCTTCGGGATTGCAGCCTTCTTACCACTTGGCCACCAGAGCTCCCTCACTAGGCCACTAGAACTTCACATTTTTTCTAATATAAGAATTCGTTAGAACCTTATCCACCTGTTCAGGCTCACCTACAAATTCCATTTACAGAAACAAGAATAGATCTGTCACCTAGCTTCTGCATGTAATCATAGTTTCTCAAAGCACTTTAACCACTTTGGCAAATTTAAAAAATGTGTTCTACTAAAAAAAATAATCTTTACGTGTTAAAAAAACCTGTCCCTTAGTATTCAACAACAACAACAAACTGATAGGGGAAATGAACACACATACAACGGTATTATTATTCAATCAATTAATCAATAACTCTGCCCTCGATTTTGTGACTAGATTTTAGAAAGGACATATGATTAAACTAGCATTTCCAGGCAAGTTTGTTAAAATTATTTCTTCACATTTGAGAAACATTTGTTACATAGAGTAAAATTTTCTTATCCCTGAAGAAATTGAAGTCAAAGGGCTAATCTCATTAAGGCTTATTATTCTTAAAGTTCTAAGATCTTATGTAGATCTACACATATTTTTTCCCCCCACAGTAATGCACTTTTCTTACTTTCAACCTTCATTGCCAGGGTTTATTATAGAAAGTATAAGTGTTTAAAAAAAAAAAAGCAGCTTTTTTTTGCATTAGACGAAAGGCAAATACTCTATGTTTATCTAACTAGATAGATTAGCTCATTATTAAAGGACTAATTCAAAATAAGTCTTCTTAAAACGTTAAGATAAAGTTACATAACTTTAAATTAGAGTTGTTGTCATTGTGTATCGTCGAGTCAGAACTGACCCATAGCTGACCATCGGTGGGTTTTCAGAGGCAGTTAATCAAACGGGAGGGGAATGCCCATCCTCCTCCCACGGAGTGGCTGGTGGCTTTGAACTGAATGCCTTCAAGATTGCAGTTCAGCTTCTTGCCACTAGGTTACTAGAATGCTAAATCAGAGTTGTTGCTGTAGCTTTGCTACTAAATTAGTTAGTCATAGTTAGAATGAGGAGAAGGTACACTTGATATTAGGTTCACATGAGATCATCAGTCTGATTACCCTCTTTGTCAGGTGTCCTCTAATAAACTACAACTGATAGACCCCATGCACATCAGATTGGACCCCTGTACCATGCTGAACCACCCTCCTGAACACCACCATTCTGCTACAACGCTACAGTTAAAACAACTTATTGCTACACTGAAAGAATGAGCTACTCTCTTCTACCATCTACAGGTAGGAGATTGTAAAATGTGGTTGTGAAATGTGGTGTGTAAAGTGCAGTTGCAGGGAAAATGCTTATTTCCTCCTGTACTGTGTCTGAAAACCCACTGAAGGGCCAGCTATGGGCCCAGTCCTGACTCAACAGTATGCAACAACAACAAAAAACACAAAATAGAAAAAAAAATCAGTGATAGTAATTGCTCAATAAATGCTCATAGTTTATTTAAAGTATGACAATATAACCATCCTTCAATGCCAACATTTTCTTTTCATTAAATTCTAAGATTAATTCCATCTCTCAAAATAACAGTTAAGTTAAAGATAAAATGACATTCACGTTTAAGGAAATCCTTGTACTGTACCTGAATCCGTTCCTTTTGCACTCCTGAGGGAGCAATGTAGATTTCATTGCTGGAAAGACAAAATATAAACACTGGCATATATTTCAGTCTAATTGTATGCCCTTGCACAAAGAAAGGTGTCAATCTTTGCCTGAAGATTGAAATTCTTTATCATTAAATCATGTGAATAACACATTGATTTAAGCTGCACAGAAAAAATGTCAAATTGCTGTGATGCCTCTGTAATGCTGACAAGCACAAGTTTTAAAAAATGCTGTATTTCCTTTTTATTTTTCTTTCCATGTCCATATGTATTTCTTCACTTCTTTTGACAGTGCAAAAGCAGGGGCTGCCAGGCTTTCACCTGACTGTTGTGGGGTGCTGCTGAGTTGGGCCCCCGCCTATGGGAGCACAGGTGCTACAGAGCCGTCTGGGAGCACCACACAAAGCTTGCAGCACTGTGACCCTCTAGAAGCAGGCTGCCAGGTCTTTCTTACAAAGCACCTTCAGTGGCTTCAAATTTCCAACCTTTCTGTTACTGCCTAATTGCTTAACTTTTTGTTCCATATTTATACACACGCACAGAGTTATTCTAACATCAAGTCACAGGAAAACATGCTCATCAGAAGAAATTTCTTATTTACAAACTTCTTAACATTTGTGTCATGCAAATAATCAGGCTGAGTTTTAGTGCTTAAAATGCTCCCACTAAAAACATGTAGTTCAGAGACCTCTACTGGAAGGTGTATGACATTACAGCACTAATGTTTAGCGATTTTATGCTGCCTGTTTGAAATGCTGATATAGCTGGTAATAATGCTAAAGCAATTATAAAACGTTAAAAATATCAAAGCCGGCATCATGTGCACTTCTCCTACGGATGTTAGTTAAGAGGGTGCTCTCATATTTGATTTGGATCTCAATTCCTAATTCTCTGTATTAGCAACAGAGGTCCTTTAGTTTTGTTAAAAGTTTCAGTTGACAGCTGAGGTTAAAAAATTTCATTTAAAGTGTAAACAAGGAAATTCCATCATCTTCACACTCTTAATTTTGTTGGCCACCGATATGTGGGCACTGAATGAACATTAGATATTTGATAGTGAAAATGAACATGATGGCCTTATAGTGAATCGGGCAGTCACACAAGGGGTTACTAATACCCTGGAATTGACTAAAATGTATTCTAAGATGAAAGTTCCTTTAAGACCCTCATTGGTAAACTGAGATATGAAAAACAGATGCCTGACAGTGGGAGCGAAGCCCATTCACCTGGATTCCAGTGTTTGTTTTTATGAAGCCGTAATGCTTCAGTGTTTCCTTACATAAGATTAACACAGAGAGCCATTCTGTAGCTCTAGCAAGTAAGTGTAGGGATACATTGAAGAGTCCTAGGGGAGTCTCTGAAAGTCCTCCTCTCACTACTGGGTATTCTATGGCACTAGGAAGGATACGTAGTGATACACTGTAGAGTCCTAGAGGAGTCTCTGAAACTCTCTCCTCTCAGGGCTGTCAAGGTGGTTCTGACTCAGTGCAATCCTCCACTGGGCTTCTGAGACTGTAAATCTTAACTGGAGGAGACTACTCATCTTTCTCTCTCAAGGCTTGGTTGATAGACTTGAATGGCACTTGGGTAAGCAACGTTAACACCCTATAAACAGTATCACTGGAGTTCCTCTGAAGTCATTGCCTTTTAAACCTGGAACTCAAATTACCCCTAGAGGTTATTTTTTAAACAAGTGACAAATTGGCTCAAAAATAAATATCCCCAGTGAGTACAATAAAGAGTCCTCACAGTCAGAGTGCTCAGCTGATAACTGAAAAGATAATGGTTTGAACTCGTCTGCAGCTGTATGGGAACAAACTGTGTGGCAGTCCGCTTTCCTGAAGATACAAAGCCTTGGAAACCTTATGGGGCATTTATTCTCTGTCCTGCACAGCTGCTGTGTGTTGGGATCGCCTTGATAGCAGTGAGTGTGGCTGGGTGAATACTACCCACCCTCGGCCACTAAGTTGGTTCTAACTCATAGTGATTCTCCATCAGGCTTCCAAGACCTAAGGATCTTCACAGGAGACTGTTTCATCTTTTATCATTGGATTGGAATTCTAATCTCTCCATTAGGAACTCAGTACATATGTTACAGGGCTCGTCTGGGTGTACAGCGCTCCTCTAGAGAATCATCGACATGAAGCCAAACCTAAACCAAAGGTTTACCCTAAACCAAAGGTGAAAAGGTGAAGGTAGGCAGGGAAACTAGGCCAACAGAAACAGAATGAAAAGACTAAGAATGTTAACCTATTATGAAAGTAATCGACATCAATGAACATCAATTGTGAAGACATATAGAAATTGTTACATGAGAATCCAACTGGCTGTGTAAACTTTAACCAAAAAATAAAACCGTACTCAAATACATGTTGTTGTTGTTGCTATGTGCTGTTGAGTTGCCTGTGATCCATAGCGACCCTATGTACAGCAGCTCTGAACCCTTCCCTGTCCTGAGCCAGTCTAATTCCAACACACCAAACGCCCCATATTGCCCCAGTTACAGTACCAATCCATCTCATCCTAGGTCTTCCTCTCTTGCACTGTCCTTCCATCCTTCTGAGCACGACATCCTTCTCCAAGGACTGGTCTCTTCTGGCCACATGCCCAAAGCATGTGCAACAGAGCTTCAAAATCCTAGCTTCTAAGGAGAATCTTGGTTTCACCCTCTCTCAGACAGACAAATTTGTTTTCTTGGCAGTCCATGGTATGTACAAGACTCTTCTCTAGTACCACAATTTGAAGGCATCAGTTCTTCTTCTGTGGTCCTTAGTCATTCTCCAGCTCTCTGATGCACAGCAAGTAACTGTGAAGACCATGGATTAGGCACATCTTAGTCTCTGGACTGCCTTCGTTGCTTTACAGTACTCTGGAGACGTCTCTGACAGCTGATTTTCCTAATGCAATTCATCTTTTGATTTCCTGAAGGTTGATACTTCTTGAGAGTCGATGTATTTAGAGAATCACAAAAAAAAAAAAAAAAAAAAGAGAGCGAATTCTTTACAATCACCAAATCTTTTGGCTTTGAGTAACACCTAGATTCATGTGTGGACATAATCTATATAACTCTATTGGTATGTGGACCCTAGCTCTTCTGGTGGGGTGTCAAGTTTGTACAGTCTCAGAAACAGAACCAACTAAAGTACAAAATGAGTTGCTGGTAAATGAACTCCATCTTCAAAGTAGAAAAATCCAGGGGATTTATTTTGTTTGTTTGTTTGCTACACTAACCTTGTTTTTAATACTGGCATTGTAGAATGGAAATCAACTTTTACTTTGATAAACTTGGTTAATTAACACGTTGCCACACACTTTTAAAGGGATGACTGTGCTTAGAAGCACATTTTGCCGTCCTTTGTGGCAATGTGTTAAAAGATGAGGTAAACCAGTTTTATTGTTATATGCCATCGAGTCGCTTGCAACTTGTAGCGACCCTATGTACAGGAGCCCTAAATGCCATTCTATCCTGTGTGAACCTCACCGTCTCAAGCACACTCATTCCCACCACTCCACTCACAGAATCTATCCATCTCATCAAGGGTCTATCTCTCCTATGCCGTCCTTCCACTCTCCCAAACATCATGTCCCTCTCCAAGGACCAGTATCTCCTTGCAACATGCCCCAAGTATGTCAGACGAAACTTCAGAATCCTTGACTCCAAGGAGCATTCTGGCTTCACCCTCTTGTTTGTTCTCCTAGCAGTCCATGGTATATGCAACACTCTTCTCCAGCACCACAACTCAAAGGCATCAATTCTCTTTCTATCATCCCTATTCACTGTCCAACTCTCTGATGCATAGTACGTAATTGCAAAGACTATAGCCCGGATCAGGCGCACCTTAGTCTCCAGCCTGATGTTGTTGCTCTTCAGTACCCTTGAGAGGTCCCTCACAGCTGACTTTCCCAATGCGATTAGTCTCCTGATTTCCTGGCTGCTGTTACCCAAGAGTGTTGACTGTGGAACCAAGTAATCTAAAACTGTTAACTATCTCAATCTCTTCGCCATCCATACTGATGCTTCCAATTGGCCCAGTGGTGAGAATCTTTGTTTTCTTCATGTTGGGCTTCATTCCATATTGAAGACTAAAGTCCTTGACCTTCTGCAGCAAGCGCATCAGGTCCTCCTCAGTTTCAGCAAGGAGGGTTATGTCATCCGCATAACACAGGTTATTGATGATTCTTCCACCAATCCTGATGCCACATTCCTCCTCGTACAGCCCAGCGTCTCGGATGATCTGTTCTGCATACAGTTTGAAAAGGTATGGAGACAAAATACAGACCCCTGTCTTGATTTTGAACCATCCAGTGTCTCCCTGCTCTATTTTGACAACTGCCTCTTGGTCCAAGTATAGGTTTCTCATTAGCACAATCAAGTGTTCTGGGATTCCCATTCTTCTCAGAGTCAGCCATAGCTTGCTGTGATCCACACAGTCAAAAGCCTTTGCATATTCAATGAAGCACAGGTACACATTCTTCTGGTATTCTCTGCTTTCTGCCAAGAGCCATCTAACATTACCCATAATATCCCTAGTACCACGACCTCTTCTAAATCCAGCCTGCACATCTGGCAGTTCTCTGTTGACATATTGTTCCAAATGTTTCTGGATCATTTTCAGCAGAATCTTGCTTGCATGTGATATCAATGATATTGTTTGATAATTTCCACACATTGTTGAGTCATGTTTCTTTGGAATGGGAACAAATATCAATCTCTTCCAGTCAGTTGGCCGCTGGCTGTCGTCCAGATGTCCTGGCACAACCTAGTGAGCACATTCAGGACAGTGTTGTTTGTTGAAATAAATCAACTGGTATGCTGTCAACTCCTGGGGCCTTGTTTTTTGCCAGTTCCTTCATAGCAACTTGAACTTCCTTCTTCATCACCATAGGCTCTTGCTCATATGTTATTTCATTAAATTCCTCTGTGTCAGTCAGTTCCTTCTGATATAGTGACCCTGTGTACTTCTTCCATCTTCTTTTGATACTTCCAGGATCAGTCAACATTCTACCCAACTATTAATAAGTATTGC